TGTAAATTCACTGCCATATCCCTTCCTTCAATTCGAAACACTGCCATACAAATACAATTGCTTTACAGTAGAAACAAGAATGGAACAGATTTGCCCAAGCAAACTTCTTTTGTACAAAATCTCCCTCTGGGTTAAATATTTTTTAAGTCTATCTCTATAAATTAAATAATAATAATTCCTTTTTATTACGTTCGTTTAAACTAAGTATTATGCATAAATGTGTTAAGTAGGGCGTTACAGTTATTTAAAACGTTTTCTTTAATAAATACAAAAAGCTGGCAACGTACAAGCAACTTCTTTCGTGTTACAGGTGTTCATTGGCGACGGTAGCCACTTTCTGTTTGGTGGACTGTCTGCTCCCTAACAATAAAAAATAGAAAGATGCCTAATAATCGTTGAGATTGTATATACAGTGTCTATGATAAAAAGTACATAAATGTAACCACAAATTATTAAGAAAGTAGAGTCTAAACTATAAGGGACATATAGATACTCTTTATTGTTTCCTACAAAAGATTACAATAGTAAACTTATTATAAATATAAATAATTACAAGTAATAATCACAGTGAGAAAACAATGGGCGACCTTATCGCTAAAAGCGATCTCTTCCAGGCAACCTTTGAATGGAGAGGAGTAATTATAAACAATTTGGTGGGAGACACGTCTGCATATAGATGGTAGAGAGAAGTTAGTTGGTTTGATATAGTATCTATAAGAACAAAAAAGGAAAAAAGGAAAGGAGACAAGCCGCCAACTTGTGGGCATATGACTTATACAGACTCTTAAAACCATATTTAATATCGGAACTTGAGGATTTTGTAGCGTTGTAACAGCAACATTTAAATGGGCTACAGATAGAAATGAAAACGACAATACGAAACCATTATAATTTTATTATATCTACCTGTCTTTCAGGTTATCTGTCAGTATAAAATAATATCCCTTTTGCATTTTCCATTCGATTTTCATGAAACTATAATTATACTAGATGAATGTAGAATAACTCTAAATATGGAGCAAAATAAAGATACAATAATTTAACTTTTATAAGCGAATATGAAGGATTAGATTCTTAGTCCCTCTTTATTTTAGAAATAATAATTAATATTGATCTACAAATGGCTAAGATATCGTGTAATATATACATAAAAAATATGATCAAGCTAGATGGCTCTTTCTTTTCAAAGCTACATATCAATATAATTTGTTATATAAGAGGTATTTTAGCGATTTTTTTTATATAACACAGGGAACAAACGAGCATGCTGCTCACATATGGTAAACGACTACTACCGTCCTTGAGTACTCACAACATTAGAGGTATTGCAGATATGCTGCCTTTTAAAACGGAATTTGCTCTCTTCTTGAAGGTTACGATGTCGTATCCGTTTGGAAATAAATGCAATAGTGTTTTTAAAATGTAAGAAGTGAATACCATAATAATTATAAAATCCTGATAATATTATATGAAAGTTTGTAAAGATATATGTATGTTTATATATTTGTCACTGAATCATGCCTCCTAGATTAACATAATAATCTATTTGTACTTATATTTGGAAATGCTGCAAGTTACAGCTACCATACGTATATTTCTCATGTTGCAATACTAATGTTGTCAATAAATATGTTTTATGGGCCAATTTCACCAGCCCTATATCTACATATATTTTCTGATCATCGAAATGTTTAAGAAAAATGTGGCCATGATACTGTTCGGTAGTGTAACGTCAAGTGACAATTTATTGTTTGTATTTATTATCCCTTCCGTTCCATGAGGACCTGCCTTGGTACATTAGTGGTTTACCACCACATTTAACGCGCAGCTTCTCTTTCTGACGATCGCGAGTTTGCTCCCCACACGTAAGAAACATTTTTTGTTAAAATTTTCGTAAGTATATATTATATTTTTTAATATATACTAATAATAGGTATATAGGTAATAACTACCGGTTCAATTCACGAGTAACTAGTCGAACTTTCTCGATTAAAATACACGTAAGTGAAGCTGGTAAATATTACATTTAAATATTCATGTTTTTATTGATTCGGGTGTTTACTATGTGTATATTATGTATGTATGTACAAAATTTATTTCTATCATTTGGCTAGTACGTATGTGTATACTGGTAAGCATGGGTATTCATAACACAGGCTTTGCTAAAATAAAATGTACTTACTCATTCCATCTACTCTATTTATTACTCTATTCGTATACTTGCACTGTTCATTGATACCTGACACCCCCCCCCCCCTTCCTCTAGTTAAGAGGCAAACAATTCAATTAATAGAATAGTTTCAGTTACTGTTAGTATAAGAAAAAATAAGATAGAGGGTATTGCCATCTTTTTCTGTCTCAGCGAAAATGATTCTATCGATAAATTCGTTTTATACTTATCTAGCAGGACCAGCAACAGGTAAGATTAACCTGTCGCTTTTTAAGTGAACTCAAGGGAGCTAGTGATACTTCCTTTACCTGCACCGCTTCGCACTGCATTTAGCATTCCCTGTCTATACGAATTTAGCGGACCCCGAAACGTAATGGGATTCGGCAATAGATTCAAATTAGGGTGCGATAAAAATCTATAAGGATTTGGTCACTAATGAATGAATGAGTATCCTTTATTTGCATTATACAACATAGGGAAGAAAGCAAGACAACTAATAAATGTAACAATACAATTGTATAAGTATTGTGAGGGGATCTTATCACTAATGTACTCATTGGTTGTTATACTCTACATGTTTTATCACATTATGTGTGTTAATATCTAATTGAAAAAAGTTTCCATACAAGTAAGATATTAAATAAAATGTAATCAATATTTATTGGAGTTTAAATTTTAATATAAATTTAAGTTACTAACTCAACGTTTGTAAAGCTACGGACTATTAAATTTATTTGATACTTACTTACTGATCATCAAAAGGTAAAGATTAGTAGAAAAAAATGTAATAAACCTTTTAGAATTAAAATAAAAAGATCTGGATATAAATTTTAAATGCGCAAATAATACCTGCGTATAAATAAACAAATCGAAAATTTTTTCATCTTAGTAATTCACGAATTAAAATGTGATTTTTAAAAATTACATTTTGACAATTAAATAAAAAAAAATGGAATGAATTCGAAAATATAATTGCATCAAGACTTTTTTATGCCTTTCTATGATAAATGATCTCGACGCAAAAAAAGAGAGCTACGATACTATAAAGAGATTTTATATCAAAGGTTAATTCCAAACGTCTGATCTTTGCGTAATCAACAATACAGAATTTCATAGAAATGTTTATAATTTCTTGGAAGGATGTATCTATAATGAAAAACGGATTAGGTACTTTGTAAATATACCTATGATAACATATTAAGGGCGAAACTGGTCAGGTGTATCAAATTGAAATAACAATTAGTTTAGGAGCGTAATTGTTTGCCTAAAGGGGAAACCGGTCAGGTAAAAACTAAAATGTTGTTATGAGTAATTGATTAATGAAATAATAGAAGTGTTTTTAAATTCAATATAGGTATGCAGGCAAATATTGTTTTAAACTTACGTGCCGCTTGTTTACATAGTGAAGGGAACTCATGACCAGGGGGGTTAAAAACCTCACTAAAAATTATAATTGGACACGCCAATTTAAATGTACCGTCTCGTAAATATTACGTCATCAGCACAAGAAGCCCGATTAATTCGTTATGTAAAGCAAATTCTTATTATTATGATTCGAATAAAGTGGGCTTTATAACCTCCCAGGACGTTCGAACAGCGTCTAAATATCGAGAGCTCACAAATCACGGAAAATATCTCGTTCATGGAATGTGTAAATATTGCCAGATTTTTCACAGAAATCAAAATGTTTCGCAGAAGTTATAATAAAGAGAAATTTTTCGAAATTCTCCATTTACATTTTGTCGAGGTTAAGTATATGTATATGCACAAATACAGTTGAATATAGTAATATTTACAAAAATAAATCATTACCTACTCAATTTTCGTATTTACAATGATTTACTAGAAAATTACAATTTGTCCATATTCATTTCTGTTTGTACGTAAATACATTATCAGTGAGGCCAATCAAAAATAATGTCTGTTGTTTGTCATTTCACCATTAAAATAATTGCTTCTCTATTATTAACTGTCCACATTAATTATTAGTAGTTTATGATATTGTTGGTTAAAATCGATAATTTATGTTTTGTAAGCATCTCTAGCTGCGAGGTCCCGGCTATGAATGGACTTGCTTTTCTGTGGATGTCGTAAGAGGTTTAATGGTTAGGAGATAGACAGCAGCGCCCTTCTTTAAACATTACCAAAGCTTATCTGCTTGCCAAGCGTGGCAACTGCTAGCAAAACCCTCCAAGGCTTATGTTCAATAGTGAATAGTTAAAGGCTGATATGATAATGATTAAGCATTTTTTAACTAAAATTCTAAAACTAAGTTGGAATATTATATTTTTTGTTATATTGCAGTGTTACACTATATACACATATATACCAATAAAGTTAGTTTATTTATATATATTCTATATTTTTGATCCTTACTAATATATATGAAAGTACATCTTGGCGTAATCAATCAATCACAAAATTCGTAAAATCTATAACAATACACTGTCTTCAATCTTTATGAAATTTGTTAAACATATTTGGGTTCCTTCGAATTAATATTAAACAGTTGAAGTTACGAGTAAAAAATATTAAAAATACATAAAAAAATATGTCAAAGGTAACTATTGAATATTACTGTTATGGTGGACATAACATTCATACACTTTGTCGAGCATATTTAATTTCAAGATGGCATGGAATGACTCTACCGTTGACACCGTAATAAATAGGTGTTACCATCATTGGAAAGTAAAAATTTGTGTCATAAGTTTTTTTTGTGTCAACCAGATTTCAATTCGCGACCTTAGCAATAAATGGTAGTATATCTATAGACCACTATTTTCTTAAAATTTTCGTATTTAATTTAAAACATTTTTTTTCAGATATTCCAGTTCAATTAAGGCGATGTCGTATCGCGATGGGACGGCGTGGTAGTGCAATGGAGGTAAAGTCATCATTTAATTATACTCATATTACGTGGAATGTATTCGTATTCGCCTTCTACGTGTACGAATGTGACAGAATATTTACTCACAATCTTGACTCCTGATTGAGTATTATCATTCTCAGAAACCAATATACGTAAATTCTGAATTCTCAGAGAGCGAAATGTGTAAATTGTGTGTACAAATATTCTTATCCCGGCTAACATTTATAATGTGAAAGTGAGTTTGTATGTTACCTCTTGATGACTTAACGGAACCATATTTGGTATGTAAAAGGGCATAGGTTACTTTATTTCGGTCAATCAATCAATCTAATTACGCGGATAAAGTCGCGAACAAAAGCGAATAAATAATAATGTTAAGATTTTCAATTGATTTCAAAAAGAAGGAGGTCATATTTATATTAATATTTTTTTGTTACGTGATATATTTACCCTTTAGGCTATTACAATTATTAATAGTTTTAATGATTTTTTTTTAATCGGAATACTCTACTTGCTTGTTGTTTTCAAATCATTTAGGATCGAAAATGGTTTTTGAGGAATAAAATTTTAATTTACCAACAAAACTGGTTTTTATTCAAAAGCTTTTTAGAAGGCTTACAGATGAATAAGTATGTAATGACTAGACTCTATTTTTATTAAATAGGTATTAATTTTGATTTTTTATTGATTTTAGAGTCGTTGATTAGACCAAAAAAGAAAATTAATTCAGAAATGAAGATTCATTTCCATTTTTTCACTGTTATTTTTAAAATTAATATGATTGACTTGCGTATTGATCTCATATTGATTTTTTGACGATTAACGTTGCTGTTTATCTTTGTATATAAAACAAAAAGTTGTCTATTGCAAAATTTACCATATATACGATTCTTCATTCTAAAATGTGCACGTAAATGATGTTTGATCGTGGGCACACGTGGTTTTGACGGTTTGGTAAATGAAACTGAAAATTACTGAATTTGTTTTCTAATTTACTTATTACACTGACAAGTACAATATCAAATTAAAAATATATTTATAATTTACTAAATAACTGAAATATAATCGCAAAGACACTCTTGATCAAGCGCCGGACGGAAGAGAAATAATCATAGACAATTACATTTGTTATTAGGTCAGAGACTATAAGAAACAGATCCTAGAGATACAGATTAGAAATAAATTTTTAATATTAACATATTAAAGCATATTTCGTACTTAAATATAAGCCACCAAGTGTCAGCTGTGAGATATTCCGTTTTCTCTGTATATTCATAGAAGTTACTTCTTTTACTGTGCAGAATATACATGTAAATTGTATAATAAAATTCGTCCGTTACAGAATGGTGTATTTAGATTATAGGTTTCTAAAGTGTACTTTACTGAGATTCATTATACTTGAGAAAATAATTAATTGTGAGTAAGTACCTCTAATCTAATACTATAGAGTTTTTTTTTTTAATAGAAACAGTCAAAACGTCAGCTGTGACCGGTATCTACCGCGCAACTATGTACTGATTATAATTCACTTTTATATAAAAAAAAACTTACACTTTTAAAAGTTCCATTACTTCCGTACAATGAAATGAACAAAACCAAAAGTACAACAAAAAAGTAATATACCTAGTTGATATTTGTATACAGATACGAACAAGCATCGATCCATGTTTCCATGAAGCAAATACTGCAAACTTGATAAGAGTCAGGAAATCTATCAATATCACGGATTTGTGCGTCATATTTGTTCAGCACAAGTTTCCCCTATTTGCCTCTACCTATACTTCTAAGTCTTCAATCTAACAACGATTATAGTTAGCAAAATAAAAAGTTTATTTTATTTTATATATTTAGTCCATTTTTATTTACACAGAGAGTTACTCTGCTTCAACATAATTTAATGAACATGTAAACAAATGGATAATTGACCTGACCAAAAGACAGTTTGCTGATGTTCAGCTGTACTATTCAAAAATAGATCAATAGATTGAATATATATATTTGTTACCAATTTAATTTAGAGAGTGTTTCTTGTGAAACGGTAATCAAGTTTGATTGAAATTATTACAATTTTAACAAAATTTCGTCACTTTTTCAATAAGTCTCTCAAACAATAATCGAGACTGACTAAATAAAAATAAGTTCTTGTTTTAGTCATAAGAATAAAAAATTTGTTAAGGAAATTCATAGTACAATTTTTATGTAACTTAGAATGAAAAACAAGCTGACGGCCCACCAGATAGAAAGTGGTAACCGTGGCCTATAGATATGAACAGTACCATGGACATAACAGAGTATACTGTTTCGCCCATGATATACTCCATGCGTTGCCATTCCTGAGGACTCAGGTGTTATTCCTCTGTACCCTGTAAATTCACTGCCATATCCCACACTTCATATCAAAACACAGCTATGCAAACACAATTGCTTTAAGGTAGAAACACGAATGGGATAGAGGTACCCAAGCAAACGACTTTTGTACAAAGTCTCCCTCTGATGACTTATAAAGACAAGTGTTACATTCATATAATAAACAAGCTGATCCGGCAAAGTTATTTTGCCCCCTACAACCACTTACCAGGTCCATTATATATACAAAAGTGAAATAATTATAAAATACAAGAAGAGAAAAAATATAACATATAACTTATATTTATAATTTAATTTATTTGTAGGTATTTGCAAATATAAATAAATGAATAAATAGTGCATAATAAAAGGAAAGAAGTCTATAATAAATCAAACTGTAGAGAGAGTAAAATGGTTAGCTGAGTTTGCGAAATATAAAATATTTTATTACCTTAAAACTATATGAAAGTATTTCTTGAATACAAAATTTAATACATTAAGTATAGTCCACGACGATGCTTAAAATAGTAACTAGCAGAATTATATATATAAATAATATACAAAATTATATATATTATATATAATACAAATATGTAAAAAATATAATCTATCTATTATATAGACACCTTGCATCTACGTACTATAAATATCAAAAACAAGACCTTAAAAAATTATTTAAAGATAATAAATTTCTTTGAGATCACTGCCAACTGGTAGGGTACCTAGGAGACAAGCTAAATTTCCATACTGAAATAGCTTTTAACTAGTAACTTAATATGCTTTAATTAAGTAATGGATGGTTAATCATTTCTACATACTTTTCAAAAATAGGAAACATTAGAATAAAGAGACAGAAAAAAATTACCACGAATGGGTTTCCCGTAATTAATTTAGCTACACCAATTTTATCACAAACAAAATTAAGTTTCCGTCGAGTGAATTCGCGCTAAATTCGTTTTTCGAATGCGGTCGCAACTTTTTAGATTGCACTGTTTATACTGCTCTTCCATCGTTTTTCCATCATATTGTTTCATGTGGTCCATTTAAAAAGGCTGCGCAAATTTGCTAACAACACAATAAATAAATTTATTATCCCAATGATTTCCATCTAATAAGTAAAACCCATAATTGGAGCGATTGGTTAAAATTTATGTTTTTTTTTCCAAACTACACGAACATTCAGGTTGTGGAATGAGCTCCCTGCCGAGGTTTTCCCAAGAGACTACAGCATGGGGTTCTTCAAAAGGGGGGTAAAGAGGTTTCTTCAGGGTCGGCAACGCACGCGTAATACCTCTGGTATTGCAGGTGTTCATAGGCTACGGTAACCACTTACCATCAGGTGGGCTATATGCTTGTTTGCCACCTCAGTGGTATAAAAAAAAAACTAACGAAAATAAAATACTAAGCAGTAACGACAAAATATTCTTAATTTTATTAGATTGGATTTTTATTGTATATTAGATTTTAAAGGTTAAGCAAGCTGAAGTGGCAATGAACTGGTCATAATGGAACGGGACAACCTATGGGGAAGAAAGATTCTTGAGTGGCGACCCCGTACGGTCGAACGCAATATAGGATGACACCCCACTAGATGGAGTGAAGAGGATGCAGGTGGCTCAGGACTATTCTTTATGGCAGTCTATGGGGGAGGGCCATGTACAGCAGTGAACGGATAATGGCTGAAATGATGGTGATGATGATATTGGATAAAATAATATATTACTAATACTAGTTATTATGAGTACGTATTTAACATTTGATATTTCCGTGTTGCCTTAGTGCTTTCCCGAATGAATTTTCATAACAGCACTCTTATTTGCACATTTTCTTGTTAATTAAAATTAATCTACTACTATAAAAACAGTATATTATAAATATTAAAACTTTAAATTAAGCTACAACGGAAATATAAAAAAAGAAATACATATTAGTAATATATAATTATTTTGCACATGCACATTCAGTAGGTATTGCCGAACAAAGTTCGTCGTCGCGTCTCGTTGGTAAGAGCTGAAAACAAAACTCGGAGAATATTCTTTAACAAGCACTCTGCGACATCATTATTTTTAATTTTTATTTTTTTAAACTTTTGAAAATAGAACTGCGGCACTTAGTTTTTTTTTTGGTGAAAAATAAAGTAGTTTGTAGCAACCCACGGTATCAATGCACTTACTTAAACTATATATACCTAAATATGTATATTTCAAGTGCGTGCTATATATACGGCTATAGCATGTTTTATTAATTATACCCTATATAAATATTAATAAAACAGTTTTTAAATTATGTATTGAAATCATTTATATGCAAATAATAGTCAAATGTACTTATCATTTACCGATCGAGCAGTTAATTGACTTACGATACATTAAACTTATAAATGTAAACGTGGCGGTAAAATATTTAAAGTAGGTATGAATTATTAAAATTGTAATCTATTACAAGACTCATGGTCAAATTTCTTATTTGTATTTTTACGTGTTTTAATACAATACGGCAGAGTCAAATGTTATAGATATTTTTTTATAAATATTCAAGAAGTATGATCATATTTAGTTACAATTAAATGTATGAAATTTAAATCAAATTATTTTAGTTACGTTATTATTATTATAATATTATAGATATTATTTGGACAAATTTGAATCAATTATTTATTTGACAACATT